CCAGCAGCAGGTTAGTTTAGCTTAGCATAAAGACTGGAAACAGGGGGTAACAGCTAGCCTGGCTCTGTGTAAAGGTAACAAAATACACTCACCAGCACACCTAGTTCACTAATTATCTATGATGACTGAAATGTGAAAATGGGTTTAACATGTATGTATTGAGAGAGCTGGAGTTTGCAGTTACCACAAGTTGAACATTTGAATCATTTATCCATTACTTCCAACTCTATATTTTCGTGTCTCTGCTTGCTTCTCACCAGGTTTCCCAACTCTCAGCAGCAGGTTGTGTTCAGGTGTTACAGCAGTGTCCTGTGAAGTCTAGCTACTAGTTTATTGGATATTGTCACAATAATTATACTCAAGATCAGCCTCACACCAATTTGTAATCTGTGAGGATATGTCAAATACGCTCACAACACTCATGCTCCACATGCAGAATGTATGACAGGTGAGCATGCACACACACTGAAACAGTTACAGTTACACAACTACAATATATACATGCAATGCTTCTTAAGTTATCTATCATTTTTTCACGTGATAGCATGTTTGTGCACATGCATTGTTTTGTTGTTTACGTGACTCACCCTCCGGGCTTTACTCTGGTATTTAACCGCCTTCTTAGTGTCTGATACTGCCCTCTCCACATAGTCTACTGAGTGCTCCACATTGTACTCTATGCGGTCTATCATTTCCCCCTAGAAGAGGTTAGTTATAGAGGAGGTGTGGAAGACATGAAGACAGGAAGAAGAAAGAGGGAGGCAGATGTGGAGGCAGGGGGAGGAGGTTGAGCAGATACAGGTGGAGAGGAGGAGGGATAAAGGGGAGGAACAGTGGGTGAATGAGAAAGAGAGAAAAGGGGAAGCAGAAAGGGAGAAAGGAAAGAGGGAAAAAAAGAGAAATAATGAGTTACTTTGTTGAATGTGCACATCTCACCCGTTTGCCGGTCTTTTTGAACTTTTTGCATTTTGGGATGGTCTCCTTAGCCTGCTCCACATATTCCTGAGCCTCCAGCACCCTCCGTTCAATGTTGTTCACCAGTTCACCCTGCACAAAAACAAGAGACATTGTAGAGGCGATAGCAGAAATCTGTCTGAACTCAGATTCAGTACCATCTTTAACCACATCAAGAATTAGATTTCATTGATGTGTTTTACCAATTTTCCTTCTTACTGACACTTTAATGTATGAAAGAAGTCATTAACCATGCTTAAATCAGCATTCCTAAACAAAGAAAGCCCAATTTCTTGGCATTGACCCAGGATTGTTAAAAAACAAAGAATCAACTTTTTTGCGTAAACCAGATTTGCATGCATGCACTGCTACAATGATTTCAGTATACAATGATCAAAGGTAAATTACCTTGCTGTATTAGAGCGGTAGCGCTGTTCTCTGTTCTCTAGCACTTACAGTCATTGTGGTGGTGACAGTGTTGTGTTGTGGAAAAGAAAAAAGAGGGAAAATAGAGTGCAAAGCTGATTAAGGCAAAATTAACAAACACACTATTATCTTAATTGACGTGTTAGTTAATTGAATTATTGAAATTTAGAGCATCCATATGCGTGACAGGAGAATAAAAGAGTATACACACAAACACACACTACTACTGAATTATTAGACATTTAAACAATTATCACTCCCACATTAAAATTATGAGGGGAAGCCTGTTATTGCATTGTGATCTTGTTGTAAACAATTTACTTTCATATTAGTCATTCAGCATATTTTCTTATTCATGCGCTCAGATTCACATTTGCATAATTCAGACGGTATTTTTGATGAGTGAAGAAGTTAATCTCTGTGGGGGTTCAGCCCACACACTCATGCAGTCACACATACAGGCATGGCCTAAAGATTTACCTGAAGCTCAACAATTTACTGGAAGAGCAAAGGCAAGTCTTACACTTGAGGATCATTTATAAGTGGCTTTGAGGAAGCTATAAGCTATAATTAAAATACATATCATTGTTCATTGCTCACTGGATGGCATAAGTTCCTCAGTACAATGTGCACTATACAACATATCTGTTCTCTAAACGAAAAACATTTCTACCGCGGGGAAACCTAAACTAATCCAAAGCTCCTGTAAAAGTTCATTTAATGCTTTTACAAAACAGCAAATTAATGAAACACTGTTTAGTTGCCAACTTGAAAGTCCCAAATGTCAGATTTCTTTCCAGCTCGTGAACGCAGCATGATAATTATGTATAAAAAATGGTCTAATGGCAGAAATCCCAAATACAAATAATCACCAAATTCTAATCAACTGATCCTTGAGCCAATAATTATGTGTGCCCCAAATTCTATCTAAATTTACTAAGATATTTTGCAAACAGACAACCAGATGGAGCTGAAAACATAACCTCCATCCAACTCTGTTGGCATAGATAGGCCAATAGCTATACTAATACACGCTACAACTTGTACATAAATTAAAAGACAGCCAGTTGCCGTCTGTCTGAAGTGGAGTTATTTTCATGATAGAGAGAAGCAACATTAGCTTTAATGATTGTACCATGGTGAACACAGTGTGCTACTAAACTTTTTGCATAAGCCAGGCCACCCTTTCAAACCACTCACAGTAGGAAATTCTGAATCTAGAAACTAGAATTGTAACTCTTCTTTATATCGCCCATGTTGGCAGATGGATTGCCAATTGATGAATGAATTTAGTGTCTGCAGCTTTGTTTTCACATGCATTTGACTGAGCCCCAAACCACACAGCTGCAGGTACTGAGAGAGGGTCACTGTTTTCACCTGGCTCTCCACCATCATGGCCATATCCATGAACATGTCGTGAAGCTCTCTGATGCTGTTTTCCAGCTTGATGATCTCAGTGTGCCGCGTCTCGATCTCATTCATAGCTTGCTCAGTGATGTTGTCCATAACGATCTAGGATGTCGTAACAGAAGGAAAGAGTTAGGTAAGAGTAGAATTGGATTAAAAAAGGTGCTCTGTGTGGATTTATGTCGCATTTGTTGCATCACTTACCCCCGAGGTAAAGATAGCCGGGTTGTCACTCTCCAACATGCTCTCCAGCTCCTCATTTGTTGTGTTTCTCCCAGCTAAAAGGGCAAACACACACCCATAAACATCTATAACAGCAATGATATTTGTAGGCGTTGAGGAGATTAAGCAAGTATGTGACTATTACAGTAAATTTAAGCCCAGGAAATAAGAAGTGTAGGTGCAATGTTATTACATTAAAGGGTTACCCTCCTCCTGATGTCAGTCTGAAGATTCATTAAAACAAGAGCTGCGTGCCTCTCTCTTTTCCACATGCTCATTTCCTCTCTATCCATCTGCCTCTACTGTCTATACTGCATTTTGTACTCCTTATTCTTACATTCTTTCTAAACAGCAGTGGATATGATGTAAACATAATAATTTAGCCTGAGCATTAATTGCAGGAGTCAAAAACAGATGCAGTCATACATAAAGAGCTATTATATCATCATGTATCTGGATTACAAGCGGACACCCTTAACTTTAGAGTCCCCCTCGGCTCAAAAATATGTTTTTCTTCTTGTTCCAACAGTTTGTTTGAGCTTCACTGTGGAGAATGATGTATGTGCAGAGTCATCTGATGAAAGTCCTGTGCTCAATGAAAATCAGATTTTAAGGAGCAAAGTCTATGAGCAAGATTTGTGACACCACAAATAGTTTTAAAGTCGTGATCCTGGTCCATTATGCAATTATGCAAGTGTGATATAGAAAAATGAAGCCACCAATGCACTGCATACACTGAGAATGGACTTTACAGTGAAGTAGAAGACATATTGTCTCCAGAAGAAGAAACTTTAATGAGGTAGAAAAAGTAGATAACCTTTTAAGGATTTTTATGTGGAAAATAAACTTCAATGTGGGACATATCAACTTTAACTTTCAGTTGATCTGAATAAAAGTGTATGTTTGTGGATTTGTCAGTACTCAACCAGGCATAACATTTTCAAATGTTTAGGTGAATTCAACCTATGACACAAGGCTCAGTTAGAAATGATGCTGCCCCACCACCACTAGCCTCTGCACTGCAACACCCGACACACCTTCAGTTGTATAAACACTGCCCGGGCTCAACACTCACAGGTTTGCAGTTCAAATACTACTGAGTACATTTCAGCCTGAAACGGTATTCTCAGCAGTTCAGATATCAAACAATTACCTAACCTTTTCCCTCTCCTGTTGGCTAGTCCAGCATGTTTCCCCCTCCAGATCCAGCCTTGCTTTTTGACAAATATGAGGATAATCAAGGTCTGCACTTGAGGTTTTCTCCTCTCTAGATCTATTTGTTACAGTGGACTTTAATCATAATTTAAGCTGTAATGGAATATAGCCAGAACTGCTCATGAGAAACTACAGCATTGTAGCGTTTGTCCTACATTACCTCTTTCATCCTGTGCATGACATGAGTGTCATTAACCTCTAATACTCTCAGAGGAAGGATCAATGTATACTTTAAATGTTTTGTTTGTATTCTATTTTTAAACGGTTCCTTTCTGTCTCTCCAGTTTTTAAAAACTCCAAACTTGATTTTCCTGCCTTTAAAAAGACCATTAACATATGAAGGGACGCAAAGGTGTAAATTTTGAGTCAGAAATATCAGTCATGTTTGATCAGAACAGCTTGGGTCATTCTGCAAATTATTTGGGGTTAAAATTGAATACTTAGATAATCTTTTGACATTACCCCCTTAATAGTCAGGATAGGCAAAACATGAATAAAGTGACCACATAACCCTTGAGTGTGCAGCTTTAAAGAGCAAAGAAAGTTAAGGACATCATTTACTTATTCAGCACCTTATTAAGTTTGCCTCAGTACTCCGTGGCTCCCCCAACAAACTTTCTATCTCTCTATCTTCTGACCCAGCCTGTACAACAGCACATCCTACTGCTTCTTCCTGCTGATGTGCTTGCTCCTCATCCATCTTTATTTTCCCTGACAGAGTTGTCCTACTTCACGAACATTCCCCTACACCTACATTAATATTCTTGTGTATGAGTGCTGACTCCGCCTGCAGAGCTGCCCCTCCTGGGCTCCATCTCTGCTCCACTGACGCTGTAAATCACAGTCAGCATCATCTCCAATCTTTCCGTTGCACATTTTAAATCCCCTGTGAGGCTAGATACAGTACGTACTATCTCTGCCCCATAAAGACACAAACTATTACCTGGTGTACAGACTTCTCTCAGTTGTTATGCCTATGTTATATTGATAATGCTAATCTTATCCAGGCATAATATATTATAGCTAACAAGAACAAAATTAAGACTTTAAAGAAAAGTAATTTACAGCATGTCAAGGAGCAGCAGTTTGATATGAAAGAGATAAAAAGCAAATATTATAAAATCTTAGCAGTGCAACTACACAAAGTTCAACCATCTGACATTGTCACAATGCTGTCTGGCTAAAAATACATTTCAAAGCTTGTTCTTGTTGTTTTAACCTGGGACGGAAATGTTACTTGCATATGAACCTAAAAGAAGCCAGTGATTACCAACCTTTCTGGCTTGTGACTCCTTAGAATGAAACAATGTCTATTTATGACCCCATATCACAGGTTATGGCCTTAATGTGGACAACAAGAGAAGGATTTCTCATAGGTTAAAGAACCCAATATTTTACAAGAAAAAAATCAAACAAATGGAAGACATGAAAGGATCAGTGTATAGGATTTAGTGGCCTCTAGTGGTGAATTTTGCAACCAACTGAAACCTCTTGATTCAACCAAGTGCAAAGGAGAAACTAAGGTGGCTGCAATACTCATGCTCTGGCACCGGTAGATTCATATTTACCGTACAGACATGAAAGTGGTATCAATGCTGTCATTTAACTCTTGGCAAAAAGCGAAAAGTGTGTTCTCATAAAATGTTAATGATGAAAACACACCAGACAATTAATTTTTTACCACCTTTATCAGATGTCGCTCTACTTATTCTCTCCAACAGACCTCTAGCTGCTGTGGCTCCCTGGATGTTCTTGAGGCAACTACAAAACCTTTATTCATGACCTAATCAAAGTGTGTGTATGTGAATATGTGTGTGTGTGTGTGTTGTGTTTATATGTGTGATGAAGACTGGTGGCTGGCGTGGGGGGCCTCAGTGGCAGAGCAGGTAGGTTGATGGTGAGTGATGATGGTCGAGAGTCAGAGCCAATGATTGCCTTCACGGACAGAATACTGATGAAGCGGCTCTCTAACATTTACCGATGCATGAACGTGCGCCCATGTGTGTTACAGAGGGCACTTTTGTTCATTTCTTTTCTCATACACCGGGCATATCGTGTCTAATCCAAACGTCATATCCATATTAAACCAATGAATTTCATTTAGTTGTGGTTAAGTGGTCCTGCTGTTTCATTACCGTGCTTAAGAATCTACTCATGTTCAGCAATGACATTTTGCAGTTTGACAAATGAGACAAAGAGGACCACGTTCACCACATCTCTGTGATCAATTTCTTATTCTCTCTGCCTCTCTGATAATAAATAATCTCTCTATCATTAAGGCTAAAACTACAACATTAAAGAGGGTCAGAGTTAGAGTTGAAGGACAGAGATGAGCGACAATGAGTCATGGATAATTGTGAGGTGGAAAAAAAACAGAAGGCGCTCTGGTTCTACCCTACCCTATTTATCTCACTTCCTACACACACAAATATACACACACACAAACACACACTCCTCATTGGCTTTTTTAAAGCCCTGACAGGCTCAGAGGGAGGCTCTTATTTGTTACCATGGAGACCCAAACCCTGAGAAGCCTAATATGAAGCCAAGAAGTCTCACTTCACCCGTAGCATTTGTGGTCTATTAAATCATTCATACTATGTTGCTACCAGTAACAGTATTATTTCATTTCCATTGTTATGTAACAAAATGAAGTGAGACCCCCAAGGAACAGAGCGAACGCAGGCGAGTGATTTTTATGGTCCTGTTCGCTGCAATTTCACCTGCAGAGGAATGAGAAAGGAATTTACGGCTTGTTATCTTCACACATATAGGTCAATCTGTTTGTTATACAGGAAGAATGTGTTGGTGTACATCTCTGTCTTTTTCCCTGGCATTGTGAGTCAGGGGAGTGTCCACGGGGAAATAAAACATAACAATTAAATGTCAAAGAGGCCCTGCGATGCCTGTGACCAACATTCCCTCCATCCTGCTGGGCCGGCTTGTCTGCTTGTAGAAGCAAATGGATGTGTGATATTCTGCATTTTCAATCAATAATAAGCTGAAATGCTACAGAACTGCCATTGCACTGGCTTTAAATATCAATATGGCATTGCAGAAATATTCAAACAGATGTGTTACTGTAGTTGAGCTTTAATAAGTCACTTTCAGAACATGGAAGATACAGTAAAACCCTTTATACATGTTGTGGAACAATTTGCTTTCTTGCAAAGAGTTAGGATTGATATAACCCTTACATCTGTCTGTTATATATATATATAGAAAGTAAAACAGTCTACCAGCACCTCTAAATCACAATAATTAACATCTTGTTTGATCATACAAAAAACAAATTGTACAAATGCCAATAAATCTAAAGTCCACTAATTAACATGTTGTCTCTGGTTTTAAGTTAAATTTAATTTTAAAGGACAGGCCCATCAACTGCCAAAATTATTGGGTTTTTCTTCATTTATAAAGATTAGCAGATCATTATATATATGAGATGAAAAAAGAATAATAATAAAATTTAATAAATTAAATTTTTTTATTTATTTTTTATTATTTTTAAATTTAAAAATAAATAGATCACTCACTGTAATGAGGGAAAGTAAACATAAAAGTTATTCAAACTGTTGCTTGCCTTGATATATCAGAGGTGTGACAGAGGTATCAGCAGCATCCTGAAAATAGTTTTTTAATGTTTTTTTACTGGGGACAATAACAAAATTATATATACCATATAAATGTATGACATACACACACACAGACAGAAAGGCAGTTTGGTGAGGGGGGATGCAAATATATTTGGACTTGGAGTTACTGTGCCTCGGATAGAGACAGTAACTCTGGCATGCTGAGAAAATAGGGGCAAAAATGCTGTTTTGCTGTCTTGACAATTACATGTTTACAATATGTCACAGTGTTGCTTTCCTGTTTATTTCATCTCTGTATCCAGAGGCAAACAGGAAAGGAGAGAAGCAGCAGAGGAAACATCCATTCTCAGTCTGACAAACCAGACTATGTTTCCCTCTGTGTGACACACTCTTATTGATTCACACACAAACAAGTCAAAAGGGTTGGTACAACACCTCTATTGCCATATTGGCCTAAAGGAATTAAATTATGTCAAAATAGAGACTAAATGCAATAGGAATGGGAAAAGCTCCAGTGGACACTTTTTTAATTAAAAAATTGCCTCATGCTCATAATTGTCCCTCTCTTCTGTGCTCTTATTCCATCTCCCTGCGTGTCTAATCCCTTCCTTGACGACAGGTGATATCAGCTAAGGCCTCCTGTGACTCCACCAGCTGACAAACTCAAATCCAAATGAATCTGGAGGAGCTCAAGGAAAAAGTGAGTCAGGTGTGTGTTTTTATTCCATAAGGAGGGTTTGTCCTTTGATTAACCCCCAGAACGTACTGTGTGTTATCACTGCTGTTCTTTTCACTGGACCACATTTAGCGTATTCTGGGCAGCGCTCACACATACAGACCTGCTGCATGTGTCCGCTCTAAATTGACAGATGGCCAGAGGCTCTCCTCTGCTATTACCACTAAATGAGTCATAGTGTTCTTCTCTGCATGCATATGTGTGTGTGTGTGTGTGTGAGTCTGTGTGTGTGTGCCTTTGTGTGTAAGGTGACTGTTCACGATGACTGTTAGGGGCAGCTGGCAAGGTGCAGCCTGCCAGGATGCCGTTGCAGAGACCGTGTCAGTGTCTGGTCCAGGAGTCCCAGGAGCCTACAGCTAATACCTGTCAAATCATATCACACATACAGTGTGACACGAGTGAGAGGAGCTCAGATCTGAGCTGCAGCAATCTGGCATGTGCATGAATATGGGTGTGGGTGTTGGTGATGTATGTGTTAAGTGAGGGCGGTTGTTTTGGTACACTACACCAGACGAATTCAAAATGAAAATATGGATGGGATAAACTGAAAATTATCTATAAACAAAATGAATAACATAGTCCTCTACAAGTGCCATGGATGAGATGATTGGGTGGGGTGTTAATGGCTGTATTTTATGTGATGCTGTCACACTGTTTTACATGAGTTTGTGTGGAGGGTTTTTATAATTTGTTTTTACATGTGTCATGTATTTATTATGTTTTATGTTCAAGTCGGTGTTCTGTGTTTTATCTGGCTGAGAGACAGATTTCCCCTTGAGGACAGTAAGTTGAAATAAAGCTGAGGTAAATTATTTTCCAACCACCCTAATTAGAGCCTTTTTTTTCATTAATAATAACTGTCAGACAGTGAATCACATGGATGCAGAACAAAATAATGCACTTAATACATTTGTGTAAATCTTGCATGTGGTTTTATAAACTACACTGCATGTCAACTATTACATACAGTAAGAACTTACTAAAATTAAGCATTAGTGTAAATAAAGACCGTGTATAAAGTTGTTATGGTAGCAGGGGTCGGGTTGTGGTGATTTTTTCTCCTGCCAGAATTCACAAAGCAAAGGATCCAAAAATAAAGATGAGTGAATGGCCTCTTTCAGCATTCACTTCTCACCACATGGATTTCACTGATTGTGTATAGATGTGTAGCACTAATGGCATATCCTCACACTTTTGTAAGAGTATGTAGACGTTGTAATGCTCTCCAAAGCTGGGTGAGTCTACAGGTGTAATATGAGTTTGACACTTTACAAAGTGATGAGGAATGCGGGAGCGGACTATATTTTTAGCCTAATTAATGTGAAACCAACATCTAAGTAATAACAGGGGGAGGATGATGCTCAGGCTGAGGATGAAAGGGTTTTCTCATAGGACTTGAAATAAAAGAGGAAAGAAATGAAACAGAAATGACCAAAGCAGACCAAAAGTTTCAGCAACCCCTGGATCGAACAACAATTACAGTACATTTCTCCACCACATCGAGGCAATAGTATTGGCCAGGGTTATGCGTCATACTGTATGTACACGGTATTAGACTGGGGGATCAAAAATGGAATTGAGCATCAAGAATGACAGTCAGTCGTTTTATCCCCTGCAGTGTGACATAGTGGAAGACAACCAGTGTGGGATCTGTGGTGCCACATGACACACCAGCACAAAGATTAGGTTGTCAGAATTGTTCCATTGTTCTCCAAGTCTGACATTGATCCCTCTTTCTCGACACTGTTTCCTCTCCCAGGACCATAAGTGTGTCCTGTCAAATGACCAAGACATGTCAAGAGGTGATCGTCTAGTCTGACTTATGACAAGTGATTTGCTGTGAATGAAAACACCTTGTTTTTGGACACACAACATCAGCCTTTAAACAAACTTGCACAACAACCAAACACTATGTGACTGAGAAGAGATGCACATGTGTTTCTGTAAATCATGATGTGTTAACGTGTGCTCTGTCTTCCAGGTCTACTCACTTATCTCCAGCTGTCTCTGAATGCGTCCTTTGCAGCGCTCCCTGTAGTCCGACTGGGTGGTGTTGTATTCTGACATCACCTCGACAAACTTACGGGACAGTGTGGAGTGCTGGAGATACAGGGAGGAATAACAAAACATTTCACTTAAACCTGCTCAATGCCAGCAGCAGACACCTACTTAATAAGTCATTTAAATGGTAAATGAACAGGAGGTGAGCAGGTGCAAACACAGTGTAGCTGTGTACCTCTTTTATACTGCATCCTAATTCTATGTAACATGTTCACACAAAATTGAGTATACTCAAGTTGGTCAGTATGCAGATTAAAAACAAGGATTTCATGTGCTGTTGATGGGTACCCACAATGCTCTGCACAAAGGAAAGGAAGGAGCCACTCACAGCTGCATAGCTTTTAATACTTAAAGTATAAAAAATAAGTATTACATTTTCTATAAAACCTTCAGCTTTTGCTTAACAGTGCCATTCCAAAACAGATTTAATGGTACACATAAAGATTTCCTCATTTATTTTATACTAACTGCCCCATTACTCTCTATCCATCTATATATCTAATACATATTGAACACAATTAGTATGCAGTACGTAATCGGGACACAGCTGTTGACTCTGCCGCCTTCTCTCCAGAGCTGTACCTGTGTCTTGCGTATCCTCAGGTCGGCTGATGACCTGTTCTGGCCTTCTTCTTGCTCAATGGTTTGCTGGATACCTGAAAGGATACACAGAAAAACACATTCAATCACAGGGCGAGAGCTCCTTTTGAAAATTAACACAAAGAAAAACAAAAATAAAGCTTACAGTGCTGTTGGCTGCCTCTGGAGGTTTACCACATCACACAAAATAAAAGGGATGTTTTAGTGTTTTAGCAGTAGTGAGGCTAATCTGCCAAATAGATAATGAGATACAGACTTTGTGTGCAAAGCTGACATTTTGACTTGAGGGTTGTGTAAGAAGAAAGGTCATCAGAGACACAGGGATTTAATCTCAGGAGATCATGAAAATCCACAATAGTTTTAATAAAAAAAAGAAAGCCTTTTGTTTTTGAAATAACGGATCAAGATCAAGATGGTAAGCTGGCCAGTTGTTGTCAAGATATCTCGTTCTGAACCAAGGTGCTGGACATACGGAAAGGCAGTTATAGACAGATGGGGTTATTATATTACAGCATAATAATATAGTATCATACTGAGAGGGGCTTGCGTGTTAAAGCTACAGTAGGTCGCTGCATGACACAAATATTAATCACAAGTCAAATCAGTCACTCCGATGGACAGGGAATAACTAGTGCGGTAGAGGCCTGACTGTTAAGAAATTTATCAAGGTATTAATTACTGGGATAACTCTTCTCCTTTTCTTTAATCTTCAGATGATTTTAAGAAGAAAAAAGGGGTTCTTTGCTTGTAATAAAAACTTTCCTCACTGCTTTCTCATGGGCACACCTCAGGAAGTCATTGTAGAGGAGCCGCTGCCGACCATAATAACATAAATTAAAGAGACTGTCAATGTGAGGCCATGTGAGGTACTCTATCAATTACCGAATTATACAGAGATGTAAGAGCCTGCACCTTTACATTTTCCAATGTTTCTGTCTGTTAAAGAGGGATGAGATGGCTGTGCCAGCTCCTGCACATTCAGGGACATTTTATGAGATGTCTACACCTGCAGCTGCTTTTACTGTGTGCACTGTGCACCGCCCTGTTTATGCAAAGAGCTTGAGCCAACAGGGTAAACAGGTTCACTTACTATACAACAGAATATCACAGTTAATAAGGCATCTAATTCACAAATATGTTCAATTGTGATATCATGCTATTGTTCTAGTATCTCTGAACAACTAAATACTCCGCCCTGATTGATTAAGCCATTGGGGATGTTTGCTTGGCACATATTCCTTTAGTCCCTTAGCACAAACTTGTTTGAATGTCACAGACAAACCCAGCATCCATACATGGCATCAGCCTCAACCTTTTCTTGCATAATAATAGGCCTTTAACAAAGCATACATTGTATTAAAAACTTGCACTTTACAAAAAGGGAAAATTTCAATAGCTGCTAAAGATCCATTAACATAGATATAATCTAAATACATCAAGATCACCATCTGAATAATCTGTCTTTGGTTTTTGTAGAAATTCACAGACTGAACATGGTAGACTGACTGAGAATTGCTACTGCAAAAGAGAGTAAACGATGACAGTCCTTGTTGAGGAACGATCCCAGGGTGCGGTTTGACAAAGATGATGTCACTTACTGACCAACCTACCAAACACAAACAAACAAACTAACACACAGCAGGCACACACACACACACACACACACACACACATAGTTAAACAAAGGTGTCCTGTGGCAACAGCTGATGTGAACTGGAGTAACTGATAGCACTTGTGTCAAGTGTTTGTATCAGTGTGTGTGTGTGTGTGTGTGTGTGTGTGTGTGGAAGTAGGCAGCAGGCTGTAGGATGAGGGATAGGGGCTATTATCTTCAAGCTCTCTGCACTAAAGTTGTGCTCTACTTTCCTGAAAGATACTGTATACAGATCTTTAATGTCTCACCCCTATTCTTCATCACCTGATTCCTGTAGGGAGGCACTGGAGAGTGTTTTATATAGTAGATAATTAGTTATGTGGTGGGCACAGAAGTTTTCATGCCACAGAATTTCAGGAGCCACAAGAATAGAAAAAGATCTTCATATATTGCCAGAAAAGGGGGAAAAAAGGAAGATGAGAAAGCTGCAAGCGAAAGGAAACAGGTGAATACAAGAAAGTGTAAAAGATAATGATGTGTTGCAAAATGTACAAGCTACGCAGAAAAGGTGGGAGGGTGGCAAATCAGAGAATAAGAAGATTATAGCCCTCACACACACACATGCATACGTACATATAAACACCCAGGGATAAATAATAAGCAAGAACTCTCCTTGTACATGTCCGGGATGTGATCCAGGACCAGCTACATGTGGATTAGGCCTGCACACAGTATGTGACTGTAACATTAGTAAGTTTATGTGCATAAAGTGTGAATAAAACTCATGTGTGCTTGTGTATATGAATCACAGCCACTACCTCTGTGGAGAGTGACACTAATCACTCTGCCCACTGCAGTGCCAAATCTACGAGTGTAAACTGACTTGTCTGTGAGCTGCCAAGTGCTATACAGTTCACTATCTCTTTATGTCTCACTTGGTACTCTCTTTTCTCTCCTAAGAGAGCACCCGAGCCGTCACACCACATAAAAGATAAACAGCTGCACACGCTGATTATGGGTATGGTCATAATACTGTAATACAGATTTCAGGGTTGCAAATCATGATGATTTTTTATTATTGATGAATCCTTTGGTCGGTAAAATGTCAGAAAATAGTAAAAAATGCTTGTCTATCTTTAAATAGGTGTTTTTTTTTCAGCCCAAAATATTTTGTTTATAAAATCCCTCACACTGGAGCTGAAAGAGCACCAAATGATAATTGTATAAACTGTCATTATTAATATAATTATTATGTAAAATTAAGATACAGAAAATAATCATTAGTTGCAGCTCTGGCAGGGGGAAACAGAAGAATTGTACTCACTCTTTAATTTGGAGCGTATTTTGTTGGCCAACTTCTTGATATCTGCCATAAGATCCTCCAGCTCTGCCTTAGTTTCTGAGGAGAGAAAACATGAAAAGAGAAGAGATTAGTGGACACACATACTTTGTATATTGTACATTGTATATACTTACTAACTCACCCACTTGCACGAACCTGTGTGCCAGCCAGTTTCAGAGAGACAGAATCAATACTGACACACAAGAAATGACTCTGAAGTGTCACTTCCAACAGGGACAAACAATTCATCACCACAGCAGCACATTTTGCCCTTCTTCAGGCTTTCTCTTTTGTATAAAGTACCAGCATCCTTCATCTCTCTCTACAGTCTACTATCCTCTTTCTAACACACCCTATACACTGTACAGTATATAGAGACATGAAGATGAAACTCATGTGGGTACATGGGTACATGTGGGTGTTGACAAGTAAGAATTTGCTATTTTGGTGACCAGAAGAACAAGTAAAATCACAAAAGACTGCAGCACAATCTGGGCTGCAACAGGAAGAATGTATTGTTACCAGCAGATATATGTTATCAGAAGGCAGATTTCAACTATTACTGAATAAATCATCAAACTCTTGTCCATCATGACGTACTGAGAGCTTTCTAAATGGATAAACTGTTCTTGTTCAGGGGGGTCACAAATGCAAAAGAGAGTCCCAAAGCACAACTAGACTGTTAATAAAGCAAATAAATAATGAAGGTCTTCCGTTGAGGTCAGGACACACCCTGAGGGGGACTCAAAAGTTTAATATTAAAGCTGCAAGATGTAACCTTTTGTTATATTTGCTGACACTTTAACTGCATCCTGCAAGAATCCACCATGCCTGAACAAAAACAACCAATCAAAACCAAGAAAGATAGTTGATTGTTGAATCTCATTCCCAGGTATTTGACAACCTGAGAATCACACTCAGCAATCAGCTATCTGTCTCGGCTCTAATTGGTTGTTTCGGCCGCAGTGGATTCTTGCCAGTGCCATTAGTAGTACATGGAGGAGTCAAAGGAACCCTGATGTTACCTACTGCAGCTTTACGGCCAGGGAAGTCTTGCAACAAACTACTTCATACAATATATCATCCAAACCGGTCTCGAATTCAGTGCAAAAATCATGCTGTTTTAGTGAGGGGTGAGACAATAACAGTGTGAACACTACAACTGCAACGATTAATCAATAAATCAATCAACAAGGAATTCATTTGAATCTGTTTTTAAGCGTTTTGATTCATTTTAACGCAAACATTTGTTCGAGCTTGGTTCCAACTTGGTTTCTTTGTCATATATGATAATAAACTGAGTGTCTTTTGGGTTTTGGACTGTAACAAGCTATTAAAACAGATTAAACAGATTACCTTGGGGTGTGGGAAAGTTTGAGGGGAATTTTAAACTATTTCCCGAGATACAATAATAAATAATAAAATAATCAGCAGATTCATTTTATGATGAAAATGAAAATAATCAGTACTTTGAACTTAAGCATGTTTGTAGGATCCATTTTGGAAAGATAGAAACCGAGGGTTTCAGATGCTGTTCAACAATCTGACAAGGACCTAGTTTGAAGCATACTGACTCCTTTATTTAGCCTGAGCCCGGTGTTGCATGATTTATTTAGATTGAGTTTCTCTGCTGTTCTAAAATAAACATTTTTGAGCATTACCAGTGTAGCCAAAATATGTGAAAGACAAATGTTTATAGTACTTAAACTTAAAAAGTGTTGCCCGTCAATGTAGTTTTCACTACAGAGAGAAGTGGAAAAAATCAGTCTGGAGAAAGAAGAACAACTCTCTCACACACACACACACACATTCACTTACACCCTGAAGCAATAATTGCCATTTTTAGCACATTGCAAAGGAGCAAGAAAGTAATTTATCATCTTAATGCCATAAGAGAACCAAATCTCCATATGTTAACAAGCCCCAGGAAGCCAGAAGACATTAAAAAATGGTCCTTAAAAGCTGCTCAAGTTAAACTATTCAATCACACTGGACTGCCTGGAGTACTTCTTTATAATTAGTCTGTTTCTGTATATTACCTGCTTCTTTAAAGCTGCATAAATCACAAAGATGAATAAGAGATGGCGGGGTTGCACTACTGAACTGAAATCCATGGCAAACATCTGCATCCAATTACAGAGAGAGCCTCAATGGATAATTTGATTACACAGTATGAGTTTATTAGCACATATTTTATGATAAGAAAGAAGTTTAAAATGATGAGATAATAATATCGTCTCCTTCTCTACAGCTGCACGACAAATCGCAATAACATGAATGCTGTAATAAGGCTTTGAGATATCACGCTTTGACAATTACAAGCAGTCGACACAGCCCACATTGCTAGCATACTGAGCTGAAAACTCATAAACACAAACAGACAATAATGTAGGATAATAAGGCGAAATTTGATTCACGCTGTATAATATATGTCATACGAATCCTAATCAGCAGCTTATACCAGACACTAGCTGGGATAAATCCCTTCACCAGATTGTACAATAATAATGTAAATCTATAACAGTGGACATAGTGAACCTATTACAAACTGATCAGTAAAGTACTACAAGCCTTTAATCCGCTTAACAGATTTTAACATTTCCATATGAGCGAACATCACCTGTGGTACATACAGCTCAGCCAGACGGAGCCGCGGACAAGACAAAGTGCTCACTGATAACTTCAGACTTGTTCACAGAAGATAATTTTACATCCAGCTGAGAAAGATGAAGGTAAGATGGCTGGAGCACAGGCAAGTGGTCTTTTCTTTTTTTTTGATAGCAGAGAGATGACAGGAAATGAGGTGAGAGAAAGGAGGTATAGCCATGCACCAACAAAGGCAGAGAAGAAGCCTGCAAGCTTGCAAATATGCGTGTAAACAATGCATGATTTAAAATATGCAGTTGAGTCTGTAGATACTTGGCCTGTGAACCAAAGGGTTTCTGGTTCAAGTCTAGCACAGACCACATTATGGAGTGTGGACTGGTAGCTGGAGAAGTGCCAGTTTCACCTCCTGTGCACTGCCGATGTGCCCTTGAACAAGTCACCCAAACCTTAACTGCTTGCGGAGCGCCCTTACGTGGCAGCCCATCACTCCACCATCTCTCCACATTTGCATGTCTATAAGCCTGCATGTGCATTATTGAATTTCTGGCCTCTGTGTGTAAAGTAAGAGTGAAAAAAGAATTTATCTTTAATAAAGTATATCTTCTTATTTTATGAGGTAGGAAATGCATTCAACACATTTGTTGAAGGATACACACAATGTATTTTGGTGACTTTTCCTATTAACAAAAAAAACCACTCCAAAGGGTGCCTTTAAGTGGTAAAGTAATGTATAGTGTAATATAATGTAACCATTAAAACATGCAGTAAATATACTGTCTCACCTGAAAAAGAAAGACAGCTGATGACAAGCACAAATGTGCAGCCATTACTATAGTAAAACGATACGAGGATGGAGGATATACAGACACGCTAATACAATCTGATAACTGCAGAGGAAATGAATAATTAAATCAAGTATTTGAATCATGGGATATCAAATTCTAAAGAAAGAAGAAATGTTTTTTTTCACTAGCTATTCTAAAACAAACACTTGCAGCATTACCATATCCTCGGTATACATTTAAATAAAGTTGTGTCTCCTGTCAATCATGTTGCTGCCAGTGGCAAAATGTATGCAGCATACAGTGAGTTTGTCAGGGTCAGAGACTGATCTGAAGTAGTGGGCTGAGGCCCTGAGGGGAAATGAATAAGCAGTGCTTTGTGTCGGTGTGTGTGTACGTGTGTACAGAGCGAGATGTTTATAATCTGTTTTATTTTAGTCTAAATAAGAGTTACTTCATTGTAACTAAAAGAAGGTACATTAAATGAATGTTTTTTTCCCCTAACACTATTTTGTGTGCGTTCATCTTTTTTGTGTCCACAACTTTAGAAACACGTATAGGTGTAAGGTTATGGAAAAGTATCTCTCAATTCTGTGTAACCATAGCAACCTCTGGTAACCTGTTCCATGAGGTCAGCTGCACCAGCATCACAGAGATAATGACAAAAATTGAGCTTAGTTTGAGGCCGTGTGTGAAGTGTGTGTGTCTGAGGTAGGTATGTGTGTTAAGGAGTTAGATTAGATTTCAGCCTCGTGGTTACCAAACAGAGGAGGCCAACCTGCTCGATCAAGTGTCTATTCAGCCTCATTATTGGCTGCCTGAAAAGGAGGAAGAGTGCAGACACTGATGAATACGTAGAGGGAGAAGTGAGAGGGAAGCAAATTAGAGGGCAAAACTGAGGAGTCAATTGAGCTGTGGCTTCACACCCCATCCCTCTCCCAGACGCTCTCAAATGAAATCTTCAGGTCATGCTTGTTGCCATCATTAAGACTGTGTTGCTATGGCGATGTGTGCAGTCGGTCCTCTCGCCGGCTTCAGATTGTTTCAAAGTGGCGGAGGGAAAAAGAGAGAGTGCGAGAGAGAGAGAGAGAGAGAGAGAGAGAGAGAGAGAGAGAGAGCGAAGGGAGAGAGAGATTGCTACGGAGGCAGAAAAGAAATGAGGAAATGTGGAAGCAGAAAAAGGGCAGAAAGAAAATAATAAATGGAGGATATAATTATGTATACTTTTATTTAATAAAATGCTAACTAATGATCTTTGAAAGATAATTATACCTTCACTTGCAAGGTAGAAGCCAGTAGAAGAAAAAAGGACTCCAAAAGCGAGGACATTGTAGGTTACATGCATTTCACTGCATCCATCTGAGCACTGGGACGACTATTGAATGTGACTATGACTTGGAAATGTATAATGTATTGGGAACAAAATCAATTTTGGTACGTTTGCCTGGACCAAATTAATCCAGAATGACTGAAACAACACAGATAAACAAAGCAGACCAGATAGGCACAAGCCCATTCAGCACTTCCCAATTTCAGTCAAAGACCATTTATAGAGGATCGTTACTCAGTTAGCTTTACAAACACATACATTAACATTTCAATCTTTAAATGACACGCGTGTTGTGTGTTGCAGGGTGTTGTGGTGGCGGAGAGAGCTCCTGCAGCAAA